CATCCATCCATCCATCCATCATTTTATGTTATTATTCAACATGAGGCTCTCAGCCCAGAAACCAGCAGCAGAGGTTCATTCCTTTATTATTAATTCCTCCTTCATTCCCAGAAAAGTCCAACAGAACAAAAAACTGATTTCCTTCATTTATTTGCTGGATTTATCTAATTTCACAATAAAACACAATAATCACAGTAAATAGACCGTTTGATGATCAAACAAGAATCTAAAAGAAAATAAAAGAAAACCAGCAGAATCAGTTCAACCTCCTCCGAAACATTAAAAGATCTGATTCTGGCTGAAGTTTCAGGATTTATAACCTGAATAACATGTAAACATTAAAGCTTCAGAGTCTTTATTCTGATCTCAGGAAAAAGGAAACGTTTTATTCTCATGGTTATAGGATGTCAGTGATAAATAAGGATTGTGCAGAGAGCAGCTAAAACCCTCATGAGAGAACAAAGAAAGAGAAGACGGCCGGCGGGACGGACAGCAGCAGAGGGAGCGACATGGAGACAAAGGTCGCTGCTCCGGTTGAACCCTGGAAGTTGATGAATCCGGGTTGGTTGGTGCTGATCCGGTTGTTGATCCAGCTCTGGTATTTTGACACTCGGGCGTAAACTCCTGGGAAGTCAGGCTCGGCACAGCCTCTGCCAAAACTCACTATCCCAGCCTGGACCCACACCGAACCATTCTTGGTCACCAGAGGTCCACCAGAGTCTCCCTGCACACAGAGATCATTCATCACACCAGAAACTTCTTCTGCATAGCTCCGCCATCAGGGCACCAACCAGGGGTTCCACCTGCCCCCCTCCCCCAGGGTCTACAGACTCCACCACCACAAACATGCTGCATGAAAGACAGTAGAAGCCCAGCTGTCCTCTGGACAGCAGATCTGGACACCCAGGCAGCCCCATGGTTCACCTCAGCACACATTAACAGGAAGCAGAGGAGATGTAGACTGTCTGGCTAATCCAGACAGAAACAATGGTGCTCTTCATCTTCTGCCTGTTCATCCCTCCTCATCCCTCCTCATCTCTATCATTCCAATTTAGATAAAATCACTGTCATCTTATTTATCTGTCCGATGTTTTCATCCAACTTATCCTCCAAATTTATCCAATCTGAGAATATCCTCCTTATTGTCAGGTTTTCC